AAAAAAAAAAAAAAAAGAATCATGAACAAAGCTGTCATATTCACTGGATGCCTATTCATCCAGTGGTGCCAAACCCCTATGCAATGCTGGGGAAAACACTCCACAGACACACACAGTTCACAGGACTAGATCTCGAAGATGTTTTCTTCTGCATACCTCTGGACCCGATTTTTTATTTGCCTTTGAATGAACAGATGACAAAGAATTAAACTGCCAGCTAACTAACTGTCACCTCTGGGTCTTAGAGACAGTCTACATTTATTTGAACAAGCTTTAGCTAAAGACTTAACTGAGTTCTCTCTTGAGAAGGGCCCAATCTTACAATATGTGGATGATCTACTCATCTGCTTCCCCTCTAAAGAACTGGCACAACAACATGCAGTATGGACTTTCAACTTCTCAGCTAAAAAAGGATACAGAGCTTCCAAAAAGAAGGCCCAAATCATCCAACAACAGGTTTCCTATTTAGATCTTATTCTTACTCCAGAGGAACCCAGGCTCTCACCTGAGAGAATATAAACCATTCAACAAATACATCCCCCTGGCTCCCAAATGCAACTTAGAACTTTCTTGGGCCCAACAAAAGATGGTACACTTGGATTTTGGGATACGGAAAAATGATTAAGCCCACTTTAGGGTCTCTCAAAGGAGGGAATGATGAAGAACTCTTATCGTGAGGACACTCACAAGGTGAGGCATATAACCAACTTGGGGCTAGCCTACTGCAAGCCCCGGCCTGTTGGCAGCACGAAGCAGAAAGACCCCTCCAACCTTCCGTACCACAAAAATGAGGACTAACGATGGGCGTTTTAACGCAAAATCTGATCAGGCTCCAGGTGGATGACTTCTCTCAAAGGCATGATTCAGGGACCCAAAGATGACGTAATTGCCTTAAGGCAATTAGCTGCCACCGTTCTCTTAGTAGAAGGGGCTTCCAAAATCAAGTGGGGTAATCACTGAGGTCTTCACCTCACATCAGATAGCTGCTGTGCTCAAACTAAAAGGCTCACATTGGCTGACTGGCAGATGGCTTTTAAAATACCAAGATTTTCCTCTCTGAGCTGTACACCTATCACAGGAGGCTGCAGACCATGGCCAGGGACACAGAAAGGATGAGGGTGAAACTGCCCAACCAAACAGGAGGTCAGGTCAAGCAGCCGGGACAAGCACCCTCTCTGGGGAACTCCTCACGGCCCTATGCCAACTTTACCCAACACCTTACCCACCCACAATACACACATGAGGAAAAGAAACGGGCTGTCAAACATGGATATACCTGAGAACCTGAGGGCGGGTATACGGCGGGGGGGATTCTCCACTTTCCTAGGCCCTGCAGTAAACACTCGTATGAGCACTCCATGATTCACGTGACTTCGGGAGACATCACCTCCAGCACGTGTAAAAACGCCTTTTCTCTGGACAAGGGCTCTACGAGACTGTCTGTTGGGCTTTAATGCCCATCCATCCTGTACCTGTAATAGCCCTCGGGGCTCTATGCTGCCCTGCTTAATTCAGCCAGTTCGGCATCGGGTAATGTACCCAGGGGAAGACTGACAGATGTATTTCACTCAGTTTCCAGCCTGTAGAGGCTATAAATACCTTCTGGTCTTTGGGGTACATTTACTGGGTGGGTTAAAGGCTTTCCTACAAAAACAGGAAAGGCCCAGGAAGTAGCCAAGGTACTTCTTAAAAAAAAAAAAAAAAATCCCTCAGTGTTGGCTTAGTTTGTCTTTACAAAGTGACAATGGCCCATTTTTCATTTCACACACCATTTAATTAGTGGCAAAAGCCCAATAAATACAGCACTCCTTCTGAAGGCCACGATCCTCTGGGAAGGTAGAAAGGACCCTGAACAAAGTGTGCCAGGAAACTCCCTGACGATGGCTAAAACTCCTGCCCATGGCACTGCTCTGAATTAATTGCCCCTAAGTCATACTTATGCATGAGTCCTTTTGAAGCTTCACTAACAGCCCATGCGGTGGCTCATGCCTGTAATCCCAGCACTTTGGGAGGCCAAGGTGGGCAGATCACCTGAGGTCAGGCGTTCCCAGACCAGCCTGACATGGTGATGCTCTGTCTCTACTAAAACACAAAAATTAGCTGGGTGTACTGGTGGGTGCCTGTAATCCCAGCTACTCAGGAGGCTGAGGCAGGAAGAGAATCTCTTGAACCCGG